AATTCTGAATTTCTGAATTTCTGAATTTCTGAATTTCTGAATTTCTGAATTTCTGAATTTCTGAATTTCTGAATTTCTGAATTTCTGAATTTCTGAATTTCTGAATTTCTGAATTTCTGAATTTCTGAATTTCTGAATTTCTGAATTTCTGAAAGAATTTTGAAAAAAAAATGTTCAAAATTCATTTGAAATCTTACATTTTCCAACAAAATGTCAGAGACCCAGAGAAACAGACAAGAAAATTATAAGAAAGAAAACAATGAGTCATTCAAATCATTGCAACTGATAAGAATTACTCATAGACGTTTTCATTGTCTTTTTTCATATTGCTAATTGATTTTTTCTTTAAAAATAGACAAAATAATTAGTCATCAATTTATTTAAAGTTTGAAAATGAGTTCCCGTTATTCAGACTATAAATCGAGAGGTGAGTGAAATTTAGATTTTTTAAAATGTTTCAAAATTTTCAGATCCCCAAGACCCATCTGAAATCTTCTCGGAGACTTATCACTACAGATTATTATCTAGAAATGACCCACATTTTTCTGTCCCATATCGAAAATCAAAAAATTGGAGAAATCGAAAATGCGGATTCTTGAAAAATTGTGTTTTGGGTTACGGTATTGGTATCATTGCATTTTTCATTTTTATTTGCGGACTGTATGTTTACAAAGCAGTGGAATGGAGAAATTGTGAGTTTTTGAATCTTTTTCAAATTTTGAACATTCTGATAACTTCCAGACAAATTAACCCCTCAAAAATGCAAAATTTTACTAGATTTCCAAAGATTTTTAGTGATTTTGGTATTCAAAAATTGAATGGAACCTCAGAAGGTAACGAATAAAACTTTTTTGAATTTTAAATTAAAAAAAAAAAAAAAACTTCAGGTTCAAAAAAATTATGCCACCCCAGAATTATTGGGTACTACAAAGGTTGGGATAATCAAATAATTAGGTCAAGCCAATTAGGAAAATTGAGCCACGTCATTTTCAAATATTTGGTGATTTCGAAAAATGGGTCAACAATAGAATTCAAGAACAATTTGGAGGAAGCGAAATTTCTGGATCTGAAAAGAAGGATTGGGGATTTTAAAGAGACAAAATTGATGATTTCTTTGGATTTTGGGAAAAATTTCAAAATGGAAAAGTGAGTTTTTGAAAAGTGAATTACCGTAAAAACTCTAATAGGACGTCACCCGATTTGTTAAATGTGATTCTATGTATCTCATTCTCTGTGAAAGATATCAAAAAGTGGTTAACTAATAAAATGTTGTTGATATAATGATAAACATTTTATTAGTTGACAACGTTTCGATATCTTTCAAAAGAAGGGAGATATATTGGCGCAAATTGGACGGTCCGGGTGCCGTTCTATCAGTGTGTTTACGGTATATAAAACTTTCTTTCAAGTTTTTAGAATTTGAAATTTCGAAAATTCGAAAACTCTAAAATTCAAAAATTTTGACTTCCAATTTTTTTCGTTTAGAATTTGCTTAAAATTTCAACACTTTCTCATGTTTCCTTCCAAAATATAGACCAATTTTTCAATTTTCAGATCCCAAACCCTCATCACAAATATCAATTCATTTTTGGACTTCCACAATTGGGACGGTGTGGATATCGATTGGAGACATCCAACTCCAGAAGACATCCCAAATCAAGTCAAATTTTTGAGAAATCTCAAAAAATCTATAAATCCCAAAAAGCTGATTTCCATGGTTTTTGGCGGTCTGGAATGGACGTATTCCTACCAAATGGATTTGAAGAATTTAATCGAAAATTTGGATTTTCTGAACATTTTTTCAATGGATTACTACAATGGAAATTTGACGGGACCACCGGCTCCATTATTCTCTGGAGATGGAGAATTTCGAGGATTCAATGTGGACCGAACGATGAAATATTTTGTATGCAATACGAAAAATTCGAAAAAGATGAATATGGGAGTTCCATTTTATGGAAAGTTCTGGAAAAATGTGAAAAAAGAACCAAAAGATGGTATTTGGAATTCTGGAAATTTCGAAAACAACATTCCATGGAGATCGATAAACTTCAAAAAATCAGAAAAATGGCACAAATATGCAATGACCCCTTTTATTTTGGATTCTGAGAAGAACACTTTTTTGGGATTCGAGAATCAAAAAAGTTTGAAAAAGAAAATGGAATATTTGAAGAAGAAGAATCTGGGAGGATTGATGATCGAATCGATTGGAGATGATGATGACATGGATTCTTTGCTGGATACTGTAGTTGAGAATTTTGAATGTGTGGAGAAGGAGAATAGTAATTTGGTCAATTATAAATGTTGAACTTCTTTGTTGATTCTAATTTTTTTTCTATACGTTTTTTTGGAAAACACAACTTTGACTCCGCGTCACTTCGAAACCGCGACACTTCGAAAACGGTCATTTCGAAACCGAAAAAAACACGGTCATATAAAAATGAAATTGAAAAATGAAGAAAAAACTTGAAATGAAAAAAAATTGCAATTTCGCAGTTTCGAAATGACTGGTTTTGAAATGACCGGTTTCGAAATGTTCCGCAGTTTCAAAGTGATCGGTTCCGAAGTGTCGCGGTTTTCGAAACGACTGGTATTGAAATGACCGGTTTTGAAATGTTCCGCAGTTTCAAAGTGACCGGTTTCGAAGTGCCGCGGTTTCGAAATGGCTGGTTTCGAAATAATGGTTTTGAAGTGTTACGCAGTTTCGAAACGTCGCGGTTTCGAAGTTACGCGGAGCCACAATTTCCACTCCTTCGTGTTATTCAAAAAAAACCCCAAATTAAAAAAAAACCCCAAATCCCATTCAATCAGAAGCAGCTGATAAGATCATTCAACCAATCAAACTAATTTTTTTAGAAGGTTTTCAGAGAACAGCTGAAAACAAATTTTCTGCGTTCCCCCAAAATTTCCCAAAACTTTAGTATCAAATTTCAAAAAATGAATAACACTACAATTGACCAATTTCATTCCAAAAATCGAGGCTTCGCTGCAACTTTCATAATTTATTTCTTCATTTCTGCTTCAATTTTTCCATTTTATATTCGAATATTCAATCGGAATAACAATCAAGAAAAGAATTCCCTAGTTTTTCGAATTCTTGCTCATTTTTGCTTTGTAATCAAGCTCAAATTTATCGTTATCATTTTAATGACTTTGGATCTCACTGTCTTGTATTTTTGGCTGGGAAAAAATGTTATCAGTGTATTCGGTATTTTTTATCTTTTAATTGGCTTATCTATTCTGAATTTTACAACTCAAGTGACTTATTTTCTATTGAGTTTGCTTGTCGTACAAAGATTCTTCATTCATTTTTGGCCATGGACTGAGAAATCGATGAAATTGGCAAAAATTATCAGTTTCAGCTACCTATTTGTTTGCCTAGAATTCCTTTCCTTCTTCATCCATCATTCATCAACGGTGAGTCAAAAAATGTGATCCCGAAAACCCAAGAGATCTAGAAAAACCCCTAGAGTGCCCTAAAAATCACTGCTTTATCTGGGTCCGCTAAACTGAACAAGTTTGATCTATTGACAACTTCTTTCAGTTCCTTTACATCACCATCAACACATGTCTATTCGTCTCGGCGTTTTTGTACATTCCAATTGCAATGAATTTATACAATTATCGATTTGTATTATCTACCCAAACGATAAAACCCCATAGATATGTGATGTCCCAATTGGCGTCAATTTTAATTCTCAAAATGTTGACTTTTCTTTGTATTTATCACTCGAATTATTTGGATTTCGAACACTTCATCTGGTTTTGCAAAGCCATTGACGCATTCGGATCTTCGATTGTAATTCAAATATCTTATTTATGTTGTACGAAAATCTTTTAGGAAATGTTGAAATGTAAATTGGAATTTTTCAGGTATTTTGTACCCCAGAATTGACGACTTTGTACCTCTAAAAAGGCCTCCAAATTATTTTCCCTATGAATTATCGAGTTTCACGATATTAACACGTTATCTGAATCCTACTTCATTTAACTTGAATTCTAAACTCTCATTAGATTCTGGTATCTGATAACGATGAGTGATAGTCAAGCGCCCATTTTCAGCCAATGGTCCAGTTGGAATCTCTGCTCCAAGTGCTCGAGCAAACTTTCTAATCGAAAAACCGTCCAAAATACTGAAATATTCCAGCTCACATGATTCAAATTTTTCGGAAGTGGGTATAATCTGCAAAAAAGGAAATTCATGCCTTGCCTGTAATGCACAACCAAAAACAACTTACATCTCGAATTCTCGGAACATCCTCAAACGTGTTTTCACCTATCAGATGGAATTTGAAGGTTTTCAAGTGATTAAAATGCACTAAATCCTCTACATTGAACTTCATGGTCGTGTCAAAGTCCACATTTTTTGCCTGTTTGAATTGCTCGATTTCCAAAATCGTTCCATAATTTTCCATTTCTCCTGAACAAAGGATGTTAAGGCGAATCGACTCGAGGCTACCGGGATTCATCGTCGAGAGAAATTTGACAACTTGGTTTGTAGTTTGACCCTCAATGACCACATTTTTTGCGTTCAGAGCGACTGGCAGAAGATCATCGCAGCTTATTGTTTCTATAGATTCTTCGTGAAGACGCAGCGAGAAATGATTCACTTGAATATTGGGCATTGTCAGCAATGGAGTAAAGCATTCATTCTTTTTTATATAACATTCTTCACTTTCTTCGAATTTCGAGATGTTTTCTCTATAAAGTGTACAGCCACTCTCTTCTTTGAAAAACTCAGATTGTTCAATTTCCAAGACAGGCTCCAATCCCATACTGCAATATCTAGTTTCTCAAAAACTGGAGGAAAAGAATCGGCGACCTCTTTGATGGCATGATTCATGGATCGAAGACGAGCTCTGGAAAGAATGAGAAACTTCACAAATGGTTACAAAAGTGACTCTTACCTTTCAACTGCATCCAGGTTCTTGACGATTTCCTTCATTAATACAACTGGCATATCGACAAGTTTTTTTGGCTCCGGGTCCGCACTCCGGTCATAGTCCAAATGCAGTTCTCCTTGATAAAATCGATAATACCAGAATTCGAAATCCGGGTACTCCATGGCATCCTTTCCTACAACACGACAAAAGGTTTTAAGCATAATAGATTGGTTCCTTCTGGAGCACTTCATAGAGAATACAGCTTCTCAGGAAGTGCTGGTTCTTCTTGATGAAGTCGGATGATAATTTCATGATTTTCTAGAAATCAATGGAAGTTGGACAATTGAGGGGTGGGATCAGAATATAGTTTGAAGTATAATAGGGGTAGAGAGAAGGGACACGGCGTTTGCAGGCTGAGTTGAAGAATGAGTGTATTAATAGGAGACTGTGTCTGATCGATACATCAGATGATGTGACAAAAGGCGGAGACTTCCCACAAGACATACCAGGAACCCTTTCTCCTGCAGATGACGTTATGGATTATGTGGGTCATGAAGCAAAAAGTGTGGAAAATTTCTGAAAATCTCAAAAATTCCAGACTCTGGTATTCCCACTGATAGATCATTTTAATGGAGTGATGAAAAAGACACGAGCAACATTTCTTTTTCTATATGTCACTGGCTTCTTCCTAGCTCTAAAAGTTAAACAAAAGTTGGTATTAGTTCAAAAAATTTTCGAACTCTGAAAAAATTTAATTTTCAGAGACAATACGAGCATGGTTCTAACGTGATTTTACCTCTACATCAGTGGGTTTTATTAATGTTTCTTGATAACCTCGAAGACATGGTTGTCCCCACTCGTGTGTTGGATGTTTTTAGTGTACCAGCTATCGTTCAAATATCTTATCTGATTTGTTACAGAAAAAATGTTATTACTCTATTTGCTTCTTTCAAAAGAAGAAAACTTATTAGAGCACTGGCAACACCTGAAGTGACTTCTACAGTAAGCCCAGATACAAGAAGGCATTTGATTTGAAGTCAAAAAATATAGGGTTTTCCAGTCACAATTCGTAATTCTCTGCGTAAAATTGTTGCGGAAGGAATGGCCCTGCCATCGTGTTTTTCGTTTTCAAAATAAGCTCATGCACTCCCTTTTCGTCAAGGATTTAAGTTTGCCAAGGGAGTGCATGAGCTCGTGGATATGCTTTAAGTAAATGTACATTCGGTATTATTAACGTGTCAACCACATCGGTGGCATAATCATCTTATCTTATCTACGATCTAATCAATCGTCGCTATATAAGCTGAAGAAACCAACGACAAGATGTCTTCATTCGTTCCATTCCAATCGGTAGAAGTCTACGAAGGACGGCTCAATGGCAGCTCAACCAAGGAAGGACAAGGATCGATACGGATGGACCACGAGGACAACTCGGAAGAAGATTATGCTCTATTCGGGAGCCAGCCGATAACTCTTTTTATTTAACAAATCAGTTAAAATTAAACGACTTAATGTTGTTCTCATCTGATACTAGATAAATTAATCCTCTCTTGCTCATTCGTACGGTTAGGGGCTCACCAACCAATATGCCGTTTCGACAAAAATACTTTACTTTGAGCTTTATTCCAATTTTCAAAGATTCACACAATTTAATTTTTATACATGTTTCATGATAATCTAGTAGGCATGGTTCTCCTCACTCGTGTGTTGGATGTTTTCAGCGTTCCAGTTATCAATCAAGTGTATTATCTGGCTTGTAACAGACAGAATGTTATCACTCTTTTTGCTTCATTCAAAGGGATGAAACTCATAAAAGAATTACCAAACCTGAAGTGGCTTCTACAGTAAGCCCAGGTCCAGGAAGGCATATGGTTTGATTAATGACTCAACATAGGCTGTGAACTTTGAAATATTTTGTTAGCGTCATACTGATAAACTCTCCAGAAATATTTAGTGAAGTGCAGGTGATAATCAATTTCTGGGAGTATATCAACTTCAAATGAATCTATTTCACTCATTTCCTTCTTCATTCACAACAATGAGCGACAACTGGTACTTGTCAGCTATGACTGCTATCGTAGACAATGGTGATATATCTAATTGGAAATTGTCTTCCTTTTTGCTGGTCATTTTCATTTCTCTTCAATTGCTATTTCCATTTTATGCTTACGTCAACAGAGTTAATCGGGAGCGAGACAAAAATGTGTGTCCGAAGAGTGTGAAAATTACTGAAAATTCGAAATTTCAGACCCTCGTATTCCCATTAATCGATCATTTTTATGGAGTGATGAAAAAGACACATGCAACATTTTATTTCGTATACGTCGTTGGTTTATTCTGGTGGTTCAAAGTTGAACAAATCCCGTTAGTACCGTTTTTCAAACGTTTTCGAAACTATTAATAACATTGTTTTCAGAAAAAAGATGGGGCTGACTCTGATGTGAGTTAATCTAAATTAATTCTTGATAAACTAATTCTCTCTCAAATCCCGATTTACAGAACCATCCTCGGTTCAATTATCGTCTGTGCTTTGTGCTTATATGTTCTTATGCTCTTCACTCAAGTATTTCAATTTTTCTTAACAATCATGGCAGTCCAAAAATTTCTCCTCTATTTCCATCCTTCCTCTCAGAAACACATAGTTTTATCTCGCAAGAATATGCAATGTTTTATTCGTTTTACCTACTATTTATTACTTTTCAAAGAAGCTATATTTTTTATCTTATTTTGGGTTAGTATCATGAAAGAAGAGCTAGGTGAGAAAGTTACATTCTGGAATACAGTCAAACAGTTTGAACTGGTAAGGTTTTAGTTTTTTCTCGAACACTAGTTTCAGTATTTTTGAATTTAAGGTATTCTTCTTGTCAACGAATATAACTTTCTTTGCATCTGCTCTGTTGTACATCCCTATATTTATAAGTGTACGAAAGTTGTCAAATTTAAGATCAGTGCAAGAATCAAAACCTCAAATTTATATTTTCTGGCAAACAGCGACTGCATTGATTATGAAAGTGGTAAGCGGAAAAATCGAAAAATTCAGTATCATTCTTTATATTTTTAAAGATCTATACATCTTATTTCTTATTTATGTATTTTGACCACCTAGTAGATATGGTTCTCCCCACTCGTGTATTAGATATTTTTAGCGTTCCCGTTATTATTCAGATATCTTATTTGACTTGTAACAGACAGAATGTTATTACTCTATTCGCTTCATTCAAAGGCCGGAAACTCATAAGAGAATTGTTAACACCTGAAATAACATCTGCCGTCAGTCCAGAGCCCAGAAGGCACATGATTTGAATATTTGTACCGTTGACTCCCTCTTGTGAAGTTTTTTGAAACTCATTCAATTTTTGTGTCTTCTGAATCTTCACAGACGTGACGATGACTCCAGAAGAAAAAAATTCCGTCAGAATTGTTTTTAAAGATTTGCTTTGTAATGAAAAATGTTTGGTGTAGATCAAACCAGAAAAAAAATAAAGCGGTTTGGAACACTTGCTCTTGAGATGCGCTCACTGGAGCATAAAAGGTATGGTTCTGGAGTTTGGCTTTAACTCGGCTCAAAATGATCTAAATTTGCTCAAATTTTGAGCGAATGTGTGTCTTCAAATGTTTCACAAAATATATACAAAACTTTACATTTTGGGAATAAAATTTTTCATATGTTTTTCATTTTTATGTACCGAAGACAAGCTATGTATTTTGAAAAAAAAAACTTTTATTCCCGACATACAACGTCTTGTATGCATAATATAGAGCAATTGAAGACACACATTCTATCAAAATTTGAATAAATTTGGGTCATTTTGAGCCAAGTTATATCTAAACTCCAGAACCATACCTTCTATGCTCCAGTGAGCACATCTCAAGAGCAATTGTTCCAAACCGCCTCAAATTTGTTTGGTATATATTTGATCTACACAAAACATTTATCATTACAAAGCTAATCTTTAAGAAAATTCTGACGGAATTTTTTTTCTTCCGGAGCCATCGTCACGTCTGTGGAAATTCAGAAGACACAAAAATTGACTGGGTTTCAAAAATTGATATTACGTTTTGTTGAAAATTCAGCTACATATAACAAAAAAGTTTTCGATTATTGGACAAGTTTGAGCAAAGTTATGAACAAAAGTATAGAGGGACACTCACTAACGTTCACCACTGTAGAATAATTTTCGAATAAGGAGCGTCATACTCATAACCTTTTCAGAAATATTTAGCCTAGTGCAGGTGAAAATGGATTTAATTCGATATATATATATATATATATATATATATATATATATATATATATATCAACTTCAACTCGTATATTTCACTCATTCTTCCTCACTTCCTTTTTTTGCGTTTGTGATGAGTGACACTTCGAATACATCGTCTATATTTAGCTTAGTTGAGAATGACGATATAGATGTAACCTTTTTCATTGAGTTATCTGTATATATAGTGGCGATTATTTTTATTTCGCTTCAATTGCTATTTCCATTTTATGCTTACGTCAACAGAGTTAATCGGGAGCGAGACAAAAATGTGTGTCCAAAGAGTGTGAAAATTACTGAAAATTCGAAATTTCAGACCCTCGTATTCCCATTAATCGATCATTTTTATGGAGTGATGAAAAAGACACATGCAACATTTTATTTCCTATACGTTATGCTTATCTACATTTTTGTACAATTTAAAAAACACATGTTAATAATCTCTTCAAGGCAAGACTCTTCTAAAATCCAAATTTTTCAGAAATATTGACGACAAATTATTGACAGCGTAAGTTGAAATGTGTTTCGATTCCACAATGCATTCTGACTCCAGCCCATTCTTCCTACCAGAAGGCTCCATTAAACCAAGATTTTTTATTCCTATTTTACAGAATCTGGATTCCAGCCGTTGGCGTCGCTTTATCTACTTATATTCTTATGATCTCCACTCAGGTGTTTCAATTTTTTCTAACGATTTTGGCAATTCAAAAATTCTCGCTCTATTTCTTCCCATCCTCGCAAAAATACATAATTCTATCCCGCAAGAATATGCGATATTTTATACAGTTTGCCTACTATTTATTCATTATCAAGGAAATTTTCAGTTTAATTTTATTTTTTGTTAGCGGGAGACCAGAAAGAATTAACACTGGATTTTATATGCCAATTGAACATTTTGATCTGGTGAGCTTATCTGTTTTTACTGAAAATTAATTTTTCATCTTCATCAAGATATTCTTCGTTTCCATGAATATAACTTTCTTTGCATCTGCTCTGTTGTACATTCCTATAATGATAAGTGTTCGAAAAATGTCCCATTTGAGATCAGTTCAAGAATCGAAACCTCAAATTTACATTTTCTGGCAAACAGCGACTGCATTGAGTGTGAAAATTGTGAGTTTGAAAATCTAATATTCGGTATCATTTCTTTTTTTTCCCAGATTCAAACATCCCTCTTATCATATAATTTTTTCAAATCTATCAAAGCTCTAATTCTCTTTTCTCGTATGTTTGATGTTTTTAGCGTTCCGGTTATCATTCAGATATCTTACCTGACTTGTAACAGACAGAATGTTATCACTCTACTGGCTTCATTCAAAGGGAAGCAACTGATTAAAGAATTGATAACACCTGAAGTGACTACTAGAGTGAGTCCAGATCCACGGAGGCATATGATATAATTGTGGATGTAAAATTGTTCGGGTCAATCCTAGAAGAGGGGTCCCAAGTTGGAACCGTCAGTTCCATGATCCGACTTGCAACCCGAAAAGATACTCAAGGATCTAGGGACGTTGGGCAAAAGGACGGGACCACGTGCGTCATATTGGGACCGCTAATGATCGATGTATCCTGGTGTATCTTTTTGGGACTAAATTGGTACCGCTCTTCTGGGATAGACTCAAGTGTTCTAATTCGAAATTGTTTGCAATAATAAAACTTCATTTAACCAAATCGAATAGATTCATCAATATAACGATAGCTGAATGTCGCAGCCGCTGGTTCGGTTCGATCCTTGGAGTAGACCTCAATGACAGTTGGGTTCTTTACCGAGGAGATGACTTTCTGGGCGAACGGTTGTTGCTCGTTGAGGCAGCAGATTCTGGAAAACTCGGTCATATATTATGCCCTATTACAGTACCGGTCAATGAGTCATGCAAAAACGTATTTTCAGGAGTCTGGAGCCTTCATTTCAAAATTTTGAACGATTTTGGGATTTTCAAGATTTGTTTTCAGATTCTGGTTTTTAGACTTCATTTTAGTCCAAAAACCAACTTTCTAACACTTCTAGCAGCCGAGATACAGCCATTCAAAGCTTTGGAGAGACGCAGACAGTTAGAGAGTCTCGTCGTCTGCGTCTCCAGCCCCTAAACTTCAAAAAATGAGAAATATCGGTTTTAAAATCACTTTTCTAGGATCACTGGGAGCCGAGATACAGCCAGTTTGACGACGAGACTTTCTAATTGTCTGCGTCTCTCCCTCTGCAAAACTTTGAACGGCTGTGTCTCGGCTTCTAGAAGTGCTAGAACGTTGGTTTTTGGACTGACAAAAAAAAATTTAAAAACCCGTTTAAAAACCTGAAAATGGCTGGGAATCAATCGAAAATTCAGTTTTTGTATATATTATTGACTGAAAACTTACAGTGGATTAGTGGTCATGTGATCCATTCTGTACTTGATTTCAATTCCATTATGATTACAACTACTTCGGCAGATGAAATTGTCCAGTTTCTCAATTTTAATTTCAATTGTCATGCCATATGGAGCTTGAATATGATGGAAATAGGAAGTGAACCCATCCAAGTTGTCTCCGGTGAATACGTAACTGCTATTGACAGTTTTCGTTTGCCATTCTGGTTTTGCTATTAGGACACACGATCCTCCGCATGGTGCTTCGTTGCAAAGTGCTCCGAACCATCCACGTGGGCAGTTGCATTTAGAACAGTCCCCTGGATTAGTATATCCTCCATTTTGACAAGGCAACTCGGTTGGACAGGAGCACTCGTAGAACTTGTTGACCTTATACATATCGTGGAAACTGACTCTGCGATTTCCAAAAGTGTAATCCGAATCCTTATCCCAGGCACTCATGATTTGTGGTTCATAGTGATTAATATCATAAGCCATAACAGAGCCGTGATCAAATGGGGTTAAGAGGGTGGTGGTACTCCATTGATCGATTCCCATATCGACTTGAAGACCTCTTCGGACCACTTCAGCTTGACTGATATTGAGCTTGTCGTCACGATCCGGACGGGAGTGCTCATGGATGATGCCAAGGGAGTGCATGAGCTCGTGGATATGGGTACCAAATATGACAGCGCAGTGACCGGTTTCGAGGACTTCTTCTCCACCTGGGTTCGAACGAGATCCAGGTGCACCGAGTTTGGATCTACAGCCGGTAAAACTGAAATGAAATATTGTGATATAGACCACTATCCGGCATCCTAATATTGGGATATAGAACACTAGCCGACAAAATTTTTTGACTTAATTTTAGTCTGAATATCAACGTTCTAGCATTTCGAGAACTCGAGATACATCCGTTAGTAGTAGGGAATTGTCCTTTCTGGTGCAGCTTTTTGCCCACTTTTTTCAAATTTTTATTTTGCTGTTTTTTCAAGTTTTTTGCCCTAATTATTTTTTTCATATAATATTCTTAGCAAAATCCACGATTTTCACACTCTCAGATTTTGGTGAACTCAGTTCACCCCCCACTCACTTTCCCACTTTTGCCCACTTTTTTCAACCTCTCAAAACAGTCAATTTTCACCCCAACTGATAACAAATTCTCTACACTTAAACACTTTTTCAACTCTCTTATCAATTTGTTCTCGAGACTCACTGGTAAAGCGCCTGTCTTGTGTTTGAATGGTAGAAAGTTCGAACCCCACTCAAAAGCTCAGGATTATCCACTTAATGAGATCCGAAAAATATGCAAGAAAAATTGAAAAAAAATCGAAAAAAACGAAAAAAATCAGGAAAAAAACTGAAAAAAATCAGAAAAATCAGCCAAAAATTCTCGTCGAGCAAACATGAAAAATCAACCGTCAGAACCATGAAGAAACGGCAAAAAAAATCAAGTGTTAACCAACACTCTTTTCATTCAATTCTTTACCATTATTACGTTTTATTAAATGCTGAATAAAGATTTGAAACCATTAATCAATAATATAGAAAAATTAAATTTTGTCCAGATGTAATTCTTCCATTTCATCGCGGAGCTTCTCCTGCTTCTTTTCTAGCTCGCGTTTATGTTTCTTGATTATTTTTCCAGCTTGTCTTCTTTCGACGCGGCTCTGTAAAAGAAACATCAAACTTAAATATGAAAATCAACAGATTATTACCGAAGCTTTTTTGTCATACAATTCCCGTCTTTTTTTGATTCGAGCTACCTCCGACTTATACTCTCTTTCAAGATTTTCAAGTTTCGCCTCCTCCACCTTCACATCGCTTCGAAGTTTATCTAGTTTCCCGTTTTGAGCTTCAATCTAAAATCAAACAATGTAGAAATTAGTACACATAAAACTTACCCTTGCTACACGATTTTCTATCCAGTCATCTTCCCTTTGTCTCTTAAGATATTCTTGTCCATCTGCGACTGTGATTTTTTCCTTATCTTCAATAGCGTTATTTATCAGTATCGGAATATGACTTGGACGTACCACAGTGGTCGGAGATAGTGCGGTATTTGGTGGATCCACTTCCATTTTGAAAATACAAACTTTAAGAAACAACTACAAAGAGTAGGGAAAAAATTTCAAAATGAGAAAAAATGGAAAAAGAACATAAATGTCAAACTCTTATCTACACATTCCTGTTTTATGTTCCTAATAAATGGATATGTACTGTTTAAAGTGTCAAAAGCGCACAGGTTCTAACAGTGTCACAAAGACATTAACCAAAAATAATAGACAAATATTCAAAGGAAACTGTCAAGTATGTAAAGCAACCAAATGTAAAATAGCTTCAACTTTGAAAACTGGTGGTGACATCAAACCTATGAAAACGTCAAAAAAACCTATCATCATTCTCGAACAAACTTTTTATAATCCTGAAACTGGGTTCTGTGGAATTAATGAACTTCAAAGAAAAACCAAAAGACCGATCAAAGAAGTAAAACAATTTCTCAACGAACAAGATGTCTACACTCTTCATAAACCTGCTCGTAAAAACTTCAAAACGCAAAGAGTTTATATTCACCATATAGATGAGCAATGGCAATCCGATCTTGTTGAAATGATTCCATATGCAGAAGAAAACAATAACTTCAAATATCTTTTAACTGTAATTGACTCTTTTAGTAAAAATGCTTGGGTAGTTCCACTCAAAACAAAAACTGGAAAGGAAACTGCAAGTGCTTTACAATCCATTTTCAAATCCAGGAAACCTCAAAAAATGCAAACCGATAATGGAAAAGAATATTATAATCAGGAAATGAAAGCTCTATTCAAAAGTTTTGATATCAAACATTTTTCAACATACTCCGACAAGAAAGCTTCAATCATAGAAAGATTCAATAGAACTCTCAAAGAAAAGATGTGGAAAATGTTCACTCATCAAGGTAATCATAAGTGGACTGATATTTTAGATAAATTAGTTCAAGGATACAATAATCATTATCACCGTAGCATAAAAATGACTCCCATTGAAGCATCCAAAAAAGAAAATGAAGATCAAGTACATGAGAACCTGTTCCCCTCCTCGAAAGAAATGTTGAAAAGTTCAAGTTCAAAATAGATGATACAGTAAGAATTACAAAGTACAAAGCTATTTTTGATAAAGGTTATCTACCTAATTGGAGTACAGAAATATTCAAAATCACTCAAGTTCATCCAGGGGAAGTCACAACATACTCCATTAAAGATTTAGCAGATGAAGAGATCAAAGGAAAGTTTTATGAAGAAGAACTTACTCTGTTTAATAATGTCAAAGAAGAATACAAAATAGAAAAGATACTGAAACGTAGAACTAGGAAAGGAGTAAAAGAAATGTTTGTAAAATGGTATGGATATCCTGAGAAATTCAATTCATGGATTCAAGATAACTAAACACTAACAACTTTAACGCGATTATCTTTAATTTCAACAATATTTTCACTCATAATCAAACAATAACATTTTGTGTTTTGTACAATACTCTTTGAAAAGGAAGCTTTTATTGTAACGTCAGGTCTTGATTGGATAATTCTATCATTTTGTTTAGATA